GGCGCCCCGCCCCGACAGGCGGCGCGCGCGACGCCGGAGGCTCGCTGCTCCACAGCGCTAGGCTGAGCTGGCGCCAGAACGCAAGGGTTGAGCCAAACGCTTCTGCGGGGCCCCAGAAAGTGCACCAGGGGAAGTAGGGCTCGGTAGCCATCTTAAGAACGAGGCCTTGGGAGGGCGCCGCTACGGCGGCCTGTAGGGTTCACAGTGGCCCGGCGGGTCCCTACGGCGGCTCGCGGGGGTCAGGCGGCCAGCCAAGGTCACCACGGCAGTGGGAGGCGGTCGGAGTGCGCGGCCTAGGGTGCCAACGCTCGCGGTTCCTCCCAGGTCCCCGTATTGTGGGGCCTCTCTTTTAACGCTTGCTAATCGTCAGCCTGGTCAAGCACTGTTTTTGAAGTCGTTGGGGAGGAGGCCAGGACGGGAGAAGGGGTCTCTGGGGAGTCAGGGAGGTGGTTACCTTGCGCATTTTAGGGGACGACACCAATGCTGCCAAAGGTGACCCGGTTCAGGCGTTCATCGCGGGCCGTGCTGCCCGTGATAAAGTGTCCACACGTGGGGAGGATTTCCTTCCAGCATCCAGTCTGTTGTCTTTGCGCAAAACTTTGAGACGGTGATGTCCCCCTGCCAGTCAAACTGACTCCTGCTTTTCGTGGGATCCTGAGATGGGGCGTGTGCAGCGGAGACCGGACAGCTGACCCTGGCAGCCAGTCCGGACTTCTCAGTGTGGTTCTTTAATGTCTATCCTTTGGATAAACTTTAACGGGGAAAAAGATATCAAGCAAGTTGCCTTCCTTTCTTGCCCATCTTCTTGTATAAAGAAAGATGTTAACAAGCAGAGAAAAGATCAAAAGCCCGGCAAGAGTAAGACTCCAACAGGGCGGGGGTTGAGGGTGGAACTGAGTGAGCTGTGGAAGGGAAGATCTGCCCATTAGTTGCAGAGAACAGAGAAACTTCACCATGAGTTCAGGGCGTTTTTCATACCGTCTTTCTGAACCCGAGCAGCCAGCGGTGGGAGGGAACTAGGGGTGTGAATCAATTAGTAGAGAGCGGGTTCTTATTGTATACTGTACTCTAAAGAGTAACACCCCAACCCAGCGCTTTATAAGTAATGTTTCAAAAGAAGCTCTGATGTGGCCGTACAAATCACAAACATGCTGACAAATGTTGCTAATGTGGCTGACGTGAAAAAACTGAAGCAAAGATTCAGAATGTTGCCCTTTTTTTCTGGCTTGAGAACTCCACTGATCGCCTGATTGAGTAACACAAAACTCCGTTTTGCACAGGAACCCCGGTTACACTTTAACATGCCAGGTCCATTGGGTTATATGTTAAAAACACTGTTGTGAGCACATTTTTTTATTTTCATGAATATTCCGTTATTTCTCTACATTAAATGGATTTTTTTTTCTCCACAAGGCCTCTTCCAGCACTTTGTGGATTTTCCTTTATGCTTTATGTAATTCTGTGATTTGGATTTTGCTGTACTAGTTTTCTTAGGATCTACAACTTAGTATGTGATCACACAATTGAAAAGCAGAAAAAGCTCTGCTTTGTAGTAGATTTGTTGTTGACTTAACACTAATTGTAAAATTCTCTGGATATCTAATGGCATTATTGATCTGTTCGGGTTACTGTAACACACTACTAGAGACTGGTAGCTTAAGCAGCAGGAATGTGTTTCTATAGTTCTAGAGTCTGGGAAGTCCAAGAGAAGATTCAGGCAAGGGAGGGTTTTGATAGTTTTGTACCTGGTTTGCAGGTGGTTACCTGCTTACTGTGTCCTCACATGTTAGTGGTGGGGGCAGTTGGAACATGAGCTCTCTGAAGTCTCTTCTCATGGGGACAATACTCCTATCTGATTAGGACTCCACCCACATGACTTCATTTAACTTTAATTACGTCTTCGTTGCCCTGTGTCCAAATACAGTCATGTTGGACATTAGGGTTCAATGTGTGCATTTTTGGGAGACATAATTCAGTTCACAGCACTAGGCTTGCAGCCTTTTCTCAGATGCTGATCCCTTTGTTTTTTTTTTTTTCAGCACTAGGCTTGCAGCCTTTTCTCAGATGCTGATCCCTTTGTTTTTTTTTTTTTTGGAGGTAGGGGGTTCCAGTTTTTTTCCGGTACCTGGAATCGAACTCACTGAGCTAAATCCCCAGCCCCCTGCTGATCGATCCCTTTGACTACTCTGATATAATTGACTACCCTCTTTTTTTTCCTTCTGTCACTATTTTGACCCGCTTCCCTTTTTTTCTGACTACACATTTCCATTATAGATTCTTCTATCATGGGAAATAAAGATCACTTCCTTTTCCTCGATGAGAGAAAAAAAGAGCTAGTATTTCTTAGCCTATTATGTGCCAAGTATATTATGTATTAATTTAGCCACTCAGTCACTTCACAAATTGCACTGTGCTGACTGTATGCCAGACACTAATCAGGACATTAAAACATGAAGTTCCTACTTTAACAGCATTTCATTCTGGGTAGAAAGATAAAAAAAAAAAATTAGGGTGCAACATGTCAGATGATAACAAATGCTGTGGATAAAGTTAAACATGGGATGAGAAAGAGGGTTCTGTTTCTCAAAGGGGAGTTAGATGTGGCCAGGGGAGGCCTTTCTGATTAGATGGCATTTCAAAAGGAGTGAGGGAGGCCAAAAGGAGTGAGGGAGCCAGCCAAGTGGAAGTCAGAGAAAGAGCTTTTTCAGGCAGAGACTTTAGCAGTGTTGATGCCCTGAAGCAAGAGCCTGGGTAGTGGCCCAAGCCAGTGCAGCTGAAGTAGTAATTCAGCTGGAGAGAGGCTCTGAGGGAAAGTATAGACCAGATCACTTGGGCCTCGGAAGCTGGATAAGCTTTTCAGTGTTCTGAGATGAGAATAGTATGACTTACTAATAATTTCAAAACAGTCATTCCAACTACTGTAGTGGTACAGCATGGTGGAATCTGGGACGCTGGTTGGGGGACTGTTAAAATAGTCCAGATAAAAGTAGGGGATGGTGGTAGCCATGGACGAATTTAGAAATGTACATGAGGCGTACGAAACCATGCCATTGACTGAGTGTGGTTTTTATGATACTATTAAGTAATTCTAAAAATCTGTTTCTCTAAGGGGAATTCTGGGAAGATAACAGCAGTGGTATTTTTTCAGTCCCCACATTAAAAAAAAAGAAAGACAAAACAACTACATGAAAATCAAAATCCCAAGGACAGCATCAAAAAAAAATCTAAGGGCAGTGATAACCCCATGATTTCCAAAATAGAAGCAAGTGGTAGTAGCGAGGCAGGAGCTGCCATAAGGTTTTGTGGTATCAGCAAAGAGAATCAGTGAGGTATTTGGAGAACTTCAAAATAGCCAAAATGTACTTGCTGGAAGGTCCAGCCAGTCAGGATGAAGATAGCAGTTGAAATAAAAGGGCGTGTTTGCCTTCTCCAAAAGCACGAGAGTGCAACGGTTTGTGGTGAAGTGGCCAGGGGCTGGGTAGTGTAGCTGTAGGAACTCTGAACACTAACCTGCTAGACTTCCTTCCAGGAGAGGGACCCACACTGAGGACAAACTGCTGGGCATGGGACCAACACTGAACAGAATAGAGACTACAGGGACAAAGGAAAGAAAAGATGCTGATAAATTTGGGGGACTGAGGAACCTCCAAAAATAAACTACTTTAATTAAAAAAAAATACTGCACGGTAAAAATCAGATGTTTTTAACTATGAAGTTAAAAATGCTATTGTGTTGGTTTGGGGATATTTTGCAAGGGGAGCAATATAATACAGAACACATATTTTATATAATTATTTATAACAGTCACCCAAAGAATGATATACAAAAGAGTGCAGAAAATCTGTCCACACACTAAGACCAAGGAAACTAGCCGAGGGCCTGGATCCCATGCAAATATCCTGTATGAGTCCAGCTGAAGGCCTAGAGCTCCTAGCAGTGTCTCCCACAAGTTCACCTGGAGGCCTCGATCCCATAATAACATCTCATGCAGGGCTGTTTCACGGATCTGTGCTGGGAAGGCCCAAAGGTCATTGGTGGAATCTAGGAAGACTGTGCCACTGGGGTGAAAGATCTGTACTAGTGGGCTGAGGGATCTACACTGGAGCCGGGAAGCGATGCTCAGAAGAACCAGTGC